TGTTTTGATTGCATCTGTATCTAGTGAGACAAGAAGAACGGTCAACAGGTAAAGTGTTTAACGTAACAATATAGAATTATGATCTTTAAAAAAAAAATTGATGAAAGATTAGGTATAATTAGATTTATGCAATTGAAAGAATTATTTCATATTTGAACAATAATTCGAATTTAATGAAATGTTTTTATGTGTTTCACCATGTTTGTTTCGAATTCTGTAACCCAACGTTTTTTCGCGAATACTTTAATTCGCGTTTAGCCCTTTCAAGCCCACTTCGCGGTGATTTAATTTGGCGACTTTCAAATTTACTTTATGTAGTTAAATAAGGAAAGATCTATGTTTTACATTTCTATTCGCGTTATTTTTCCACTCGCGAAAGTCTCGAAAATAAATCGCTTGCGAAAATGAGTTGGTTTAGTGTATGAGGTATGAATTGATAGTGTTTGTCTACTATGTATGCGATATATACATTTTTTTTGTACAATACAAATTTAAAACATGTTAATGTTCTACGTTATTTTCAATTCTGTGAGGATTTTTTGAACTCTTTGGAACAGTTGTTCCAATAGATTGAGAAATTATAGGTAATCTAATAGAAATTGAAGCATGATTTTACTGTGTAGTAATCCAACGTTAGATTGCAGTATTCTATATACTCAGTCCCTACGTGTATCATCACCTCAGTAGTTAGTACTTCGGAACTGACATGATTTATCACACATCTTTCTTAAAATTTCAATTTATAAATTTATAATTTATACAAAAAACTAAGGTTTCAACTACCTCAGGCAAAGTAGACATTAGGTGAATTTGGTTATTATTTTTTATGTCCGTTTTGATCAAATAGCTTTTCAACTGTGTTAGCACTTATACATCCTTTGCTTTCAAATATTCGTATTTGAGCGTTGCTGATGACGGTAAATCCAGAAAAGCGCTTCGTACGCATGAAATTGATAAAGTGTTGTTCAACAAATAGTCTTATGCATGGTCTTGATACTAATAACCATATATAAAAAGATGTGTTATAAATGCAAATGAAAGTGCTAGCTATATAAGACAAAATGGAAAGAACGTTTCCAGATTTAGTGTGTTCTTCTACCATGAGCGAAGTTGTCAAGAGACACAAATTTTACGATAAGCTAAATATAAAAATACAAATAAAAGTCCTTTGAACTACAAAACCATGATATTTGAAAATAAACCGAAACTGATGATGTGAACGTGTTGTTTGGTTTATGTCTTAGCTATTAGCATGGAGCACATAGCCCCTTTTATTCACAATAAGATACGTTTTGGTTGGTGATAGTGTTAAGTTGTGTATTTAGTTGTGTTTTTGGTGCTACACTAAAATTTACAACAGAAGCCTATTGAGTGTTGAAGAATACATCATCCATTTTGGACTGGTTTAACAATATTTTATTCAATAAACTAATCTGTGCAATTCTAAATCATACGTTTCAAAAACAAGCGACATTATTTATTTCAATATGAAAACTTCTTTTTTCTATTGAAAAAAAATATACACATTAGTACATTGTATTTCATAAGTTCCAACCCTAAATAATTTTCTGCAAACTTTTTTCAGACGATAAGTAAACAAGCTTTTTTGTTTTGATTCTGCGACATATTTTATTTTTAAAAAAAATTAGGAATTTAATAGGTTCCAGCTACTATCTGTTGTATCAGAAGTCCATTACTCTAGTAATCGACTTCTGGTTATATACATGTATATATTTATAAACATAATTTGCATATAAATAATAAAAGAATATTCTTTATATTGTGAAATTCTGTGTTAATTATGTAAAGATAAAGGAGATATAGAATTACTACACCAATGACACAAAAAGGAATCATAGAACACATTACGAAGATCTTAACGACTTCCGGTCACCACACGGCCTTCAATAATGAGAAAAACAAATACCGTATGGACAGCTATAAAACGACCGTGAATAGCAACAACTGAAACAATTCAAAATGGATCTGCTCACCTGATTTAAGTCAATAAAATTTAACTAGGGGTGGACAATTAGGACAGAGGGCACCAACGACAAACATTCGACTACAGTCTTCTGGCTAGGGACTATCACATAATAGACTCAGTGTAGCTGGCTAAAACAGGATTGTGAGCGTTCAACCCTCTCCTTAAACCGAGAGAATGGTCTACCAACAGTACTGTTGTAGACCTGGAAATATATAAAGGGAGCCTAACTAGTTGAGTTAGGGAAGATCTTCTTTGGCTCAATTGGTTAGAGCGCTGCCTTTAGATCCCGAGATTGAGGGTTCGAATCCCGCTGGTACCATCCATGGATTTTCACATCATTGGCGCTGCGAGCAATTACTACTTGTACAAACAAGTGTATATAGGTGCCTGGCAGTTTGATATGGTCATGTGTGGATGACCGTGACATATCTAGGTGGAACTGGCCAGAGGATTTCCGAGTAGATGTCTCGGGGTTGTACAGTAGTGGACCTGCGAGTTGCTCGGATGGATGGTACGCAGCCCGAAAAAAGAAAAGGGGGAAGAGTGTTGTAGACCTGGAAATATAAAGGGAGCCTAACTAGTTGAGTTAGGGAAGATCTTCTTTGGCTCAATTGGTTAGAGCGCTGCCTTTAGATCCCGAGATTGAGGGTTCGAATCCCACTGGTACCATTCATAGATTTTCACAACAGTACATTAATAGTACGCACTGTAAAATCAATTATGTACTTTTGGAATCGTTATCGTGATCTTTATTGTAATAAACGATACGCTCTTTGATTGTTTTCCGGTTTTGTTTACATAAAAATTAATATAATCAACACATCAACTTGAGGTATATATAATGAAGTTTCTCTAATTCTTTGACAATTTATACCTTTCTGCACTCATTGTATAAAAAAAATTTAATCAACGTGTGGTTGCCGGTGATCTCAGAAGATGATTGGCTGGGTCATAACCTTAATCAGCTAACTGAATAATGAATCAAAATATGCTAACAGGTGTTAATGAAATTGACAACTTTGTGAAATGTGGAAGGCACTCGAAGGGGATTTTCGTTTAACAAAAAATTGAAATTTTATTTTTTAATCATTAGAGAAACAGATTCTTACATAGTTACTCGTGGATTTTCGGATTTATCCAATCTTGATAGTTAAATTATAAATTTTAAAGTCCTCGCCGAGGCTCGGACTTTAAAATTGATAATTTAACACTCTCGATTGGATAAATCCGATAATCCACTGGTATCAATGTAAGAATCTATATGTATATGATATGACTTTTTCAATATCACACACCGTAACCCTCAACCAATATAATTATAGTTATATAATAGTAGAGCTCAAGTCTTGTGATTATGTGGGTGTCTCAGGTTGATACGGATGTTATATCAAAATTTTTATATACGGCAGTTATATTTGTAACACACCATTGTTGATGTCACCATTGTTGATGTTCACAATGGAACATACATTAATCGGCAAACTCGTCTGCTTTACTTCTATATCCCTTTGATATCTTTCGCCTCTCTTTTCCAGTATGAGGGGGTATTTCTTATCGGTAAGCGGACAGAAAGTCACAGGACAAAAAGTCACAGAACAGAAAGTCACAAATTTGATAGGACAAATAGTCCCAAAAAATTGTTTATAATTGTTTGAATATATAAGAGAAAGTTCTTGAAATAATTTCTTTTTATCACATATATTCATTTTACGGTTAAGGAAATTGTTCATAAGCCTTGTTAAGTGAAGATTTATTAAATTCTTGTCATGCAAGAATATATTTCTTAGCACCATGAAGCCATTTAAGTACCAAGCCACTTTGACAAATTTTTTTTTTAACAATCATTTGATCAATATTTATTTTTTTTTAGAATACATTTTGTTTACAAAGTTGTTTTATATATAACAGTTCAAGAAAAATACAAAAACATTTTAAAAAATATAAGTGTTTTCTATTCTTAGAAAGATGATGTCAAAACTGAATTGTGACTTTTTGTCCTGTGACTTTTTGTCCTGTGACTTTCTGTCCTATATTATGTCTTATCGTTTATCTTACAAGAGGTACATACATGTATGATCTCGTTTCACCCACGTAGACCTATTCTTTATTTGAATGGCGTTCTTTTATCGACGGTAGGCTTATTAATTGATAAAAACTATAACAAGTATATCAAATTAGTTGTAAGCCAAAAAGCGGATTATTGCTTTATCTGTTTTCAGACAGACACGATGCACAATAATCTTGATCGCAATGGAGTCTTGAATAAAAAAAAATACAAAATGTTATATATCACAGAGACAATTATATTGGAAAGTAGACTTATATATATATATATAAAGTCTTTTCTCAATACCTAATACTGGTAATAGAAAAAGAATAACGAACTTACAATGTTCGTTTATTTCTGAATTTATTTATCTTTATGTCATGGAAATCTATTACAAGAGTCTAATACAAAAATGATATGCACCTTTCCGACGAATAAAGGTTCTTACAGATTCTTTCATTCACCCATGAAAACGAAATAATGCAGCATAAACTTCTTGTATGTAACCACCAATATTATATTTCTAACCGAGACTACAATTGGATGCGAAAACTGCACATCCTTGAAATCAGTATTTAAGAACAATTTACATCCGGAATTAATCAAAAGTTAAAAATAATTTATTCATTAAATCTTCAGAACGTCTAATTTATTCTACGTCTAATAAAATATTCTGGGTTGTAATATTTGTTTTCATTTTTCTTTTTATTCAAAACTCTTACAAACCAAGGATCAAAATGTTTATGTTGGGTTGGCTGTTCCTTTGCTTTGTGTGTTTGTTTTTGCGTGTGTGTGTGGTTTTTTTTTTTTTTTGCTGTGCATGTACTGATTTTGTGTCATGGATTGATACCCCATATCCTTTGTTTTTCTATTATATACATATCCCGTTATCCATATCCAAATGTCAGAAGTGGTTATAAAATGTAAGAAGATAAATTCATCTCCCAACTTAATTTTATTACAGAATGGCAAAGCTAGCAGCTGTTTGTTTATTAACCATCATATGCATTATGGATTTTGGGATGTGCCTTTTCTATACAGACAGCAAAGAAAACGATTACCCACGAATTGGAAAGAGAAGACATTATGATGAACTTGTATACAATAACAATTACCAGCAAAAATACAGAGAATCCAAAAAGTCAATGGACCGTTTAACATTTAGTGAAGCTGTTATACCATCTGTGTTATTGTTTCAATATTTTGACTTGGATAGTAAGTAAATTTAACAAAATTGAAGTGAAAATTGGAAAGATCGTCTTGCAAAGAGATTAATTAATAATTTATACCCAAAGTGAATTATATTACCGATTATAAGCACATTATGAGAAACTTAAATGGTTATCATGAGGTTTTAACTATCCCGTTTTGAGCCATAAATCCTAAGTTCACAAATTGTATAATATTCATTGTCGATTTTTCAAGAGTCTGCTTTCGCATGGCGCGTGATGAATGCATAGCTGGAGATAACTGACACACAGACACACCCATTATTGCTACTAAGGATTTATGTAATTTTTCCTCTTGGTTCTTATATTCCAAATGGATTTACCGATAAATTATTGTCGCTACCTATTTGCTTCTGACTTGGTTGACCTTGAATCCACTAAACTATCATACTTATATATTTATTTTCCTTATATATCATGCATAAAAGAAGATTTATGGAAAATGTCAACGAGACAGCAGTCATACGACAAAAATTAACTAAAACAACATAAATATACAACATACAGGGCAAAATACAGTCTTCAACCATAGACAGGTGTCTATACAATATGACCATCTCTAAATCGTCCCGAGTCTATACTGTACAAGTTGTGAATGAAATCAAAGTTCTGCCATGAAAACACAAATCTCAAAATAAATGTCTTCGTTTTAGAAAATTTTATAGATTCTTTAATATTGCAGTACCAGCAAGTTTTAACAACTTTCAGATTTATCTAGTGAGTGAAACAAATACAGGGAAAATTGGCACTACCTCTTTATGACATCATCAAATATTAACTTGATCAGTATTATTATGTTTGTTATATGTAAAAAAAACATTAAAAAATAGGTGATGGGTTTTCATAAAAAAGAAAGGTAATAATGTATCATTTTTTTTTTCATTTCAGACGACGGATTCATATCTGCAAGCGAATTTTCAAGAAGAATATCATCTGGTTTAAGTTACTTGATGCAACGAGAAATGAACTGGGATCATTAGCTGGAACAATATTTTGTCTGTTCATATATGGGACTTGGATATATTTGTATAACACTTACTACTTAAAAATGACGGGTAGTTAATGATGAGGGTGGTTACTAATATTACTGAGGGATGGTTAATGATATTACTGAGGGATGGTTAATTATATTACTGAGGGATGGTTACTGATATTACTGAGGGATGGTTAATTATATTACTGAGGGATGGTTAATGATATTACTGAGGGTTGGTTACTGATATTACTGAGGGATGGTTAATTATATTACTGAGGGTTGGTTACTGATATTACTGAGGGTTGGTTACTGATATTACTGAGGGTGATTACTGAGGGGTAGTTACTGATAATACTACATAAGGCACGTAGAAAGAATCTTACTGCCGTCAATGCGTAAATTGATTGACATATTTTATCGTTTCATTGTTTCAGTTTTCATACTTATAGTACCAACGTTGACAATCTTAAATTACCTCAGTGATCCTTCTTTACTGCTTATTGATCATATTTCTTTAAAAAAGATAATTTATAGATAATTCTAAACATTTGTTATGCTTTCAGTTGAACTGATCTGGCCCTATGTCATGCTATTTTTAGCGCCCTTAGCGTTATGTGTCTGTCATAAAACAAAACCTTCTAGACCAGGACGCAAAGTTGCATCCGACGAAACCGCTTACAGACAAACAACTGAAACGAAACTGAAAGGGACTGTATTAAACTCATTAAATCTTATCACTTTCTTTTTCTACAATCATAAGACCTATTTGGCTAATATGAACGTTTCTAAAATGAATTATGGCTGAGATAAGGAGATATTGGGTATATATCTATGAGACAGCAACCTTCCGACACAAATATCCGAAAGACATCTAGTCAGATGTCTACAGACAGTCTTCAACAATACACACAGGTGATTGTATAATGTAAACAAATCCTGTGAATCTCTAAACCGACCCTCCTCTTTTCCACACCTATTCTGAAAAAAAAACCTTTAACTGGGGCTATTTAATACCTGCCATCAACGCCACATACTAAGATATGACACGTGACAACCACAAACGAGGTTCTAGACTTTGTCCTGACCCATAACATGTGGTAGAGTTAAACAAGTTTTTGAGATCTCAACCTTTCCCCTTTTTATTGAAGATAAATGGACAAATAAAAGGTTCACTTTTTACCTTACAGACAGATATGAACAACAAAAAACCCGTTTTGCAAAAGAAATCAAATTTCCGCCTCAATTTATTTGTGTGTAAACTAGTCTGTTGGCTCACAAACAGATTTTGATATTCGATTCTATTTTAAGCCTGGTAACAACTTACACATTGATTTATTCAGACAAACCTATTAATCTCGACACACGCAGTAACAAATTCACAGATGAACAACAGGAAATGATAAGGACAACCATTAAAAATATTGCGTCAAGGTAGTGAAGTATTTCGAAAAGATATCAAACTATTGTGTACAATATTATTCTCTACATCAGCATGATCAGAAAGAATAATGTAGAATTATTTATTTTCCTAAAACCTTTCATCCCTGCAAATGCAAACAGATTCAAATTTCAATTCGTAAATTATGACTAATTTCATTTGTTTAAGATACATGCAAGAAATGAAAATAAAGTTTTATAACATTCAAATGTAAGTATATTTACAGTGACAATCGACTAATATCAAATTTATATATATACATATACAGCAAAAGTTGTACCGAGTGCCTTTTATTGGGAAAATAAACCAGTGTTGCACTGAATATATTGTTACAGTATAGCAAAACAATGAAATACACACTAACGGGATTGATTTCCAGTTTTATAATATCATTACTTTTCTGAACCTATTAACAATATGTATAGATTACTGTCCTTCATTTGGGTGTAGCAATGTCTTGTTACAATAAAAAACAATCAGTTAGCAATGTCTTGTTACAATAAAAACAATCAGTGATTACATTTGTAGTTTGCTTATATTTCAGTATTATTCACCTAATATTCTGTTTATATATATATTACTCTTATCTCAGAAAAAAACTTCCTTGAATATGAAGTTGCACATTAGTATACAAAGAAATATTTACTGCTCTCATAGCTCTGCAAAAGAGTACACCAGTAGTATTGTATTCTGTTTGAATGACATAACAATTCAATTACAATGTAGTACCAAAACGTTATTGTGAAGTCAAATTCAGAATGATATATTTTGTTTGAAAATTTATCTTAGCACAATAAAAAATTGATATAATATATTGGTGATGTAGGGGTTCCACTCAGCAGAATAAGGTCAGTAAAAAAGAGGCAAAAGACAACAATAGGGACAATAAAATATCCTGTAGAAAAAAATGGGTATACAAATAACCTGGAGGTGATTTAGCCTCAAATTAGCTATTTAAAATCGCAGTAATACTATACACAACATAACAAGACCTATCCAACCGAACAAGGATCCATACGAATAAATAACTCCACTGATAGTACAGCTAAAAATACTGTTCAGGTCACAATGAAGGGAAATGTCCAAACACAATCAATAATTATCATAGTAATTCTGCCATGCTCGTGAATGAAAAAATCGTCAATAAAATTATCAATGGCAACCTTAGTGATATTCACATGCTGATATAAAGAAGTATATTAAATCACAAAATGATTTGTTGATAACACAATTAAAGAAACTACTCTCTCATTATGTAGTGAATATGGGAAGCCACGTGTTCACAATACTTTAGAGTACGGGGAATAAAATGATCTAGAGTGAAGACTAACCTAAAGATACTACCTGCATAAAATGCAAAAGGCCAGGTTAGACAAAATTGGCTCTTTGTGACATTGGTTATCACTAGATATAATTATTATTATTGTGAAAAGCTTAGAAACAATGCAATTGAGCTATTTAAAAAAGATTCCACATTTCTACTTTAGGAAATGCCTGTAGCAAGTCAGGAATATGACAGCTGTTTTCCATTCGTTTGAGCTTTTGATTTTTCTATTTGATAAGGGACTTTTCGTTTTGAAATTTCTTTTGAGTTCGGTATTCTTGCTATTTTACTCTTTATATATAAAGCAAACAACAATGAGTCCATAGCAACTAACACAATACTGTATGAAGAGGTTGACCTTGTAATGGACCTTCTAGCATAAAAACCCAAAATAGATGTAATTAACAAAACCACTTTAACAAATAGAAAGGATAAAGAAACATTAATTTTGTAAATATTACAGAATCCTTCAATACAAAAGTAGAACACCAACCTGTAACGCTGAACACATGTCCAGTAAATAGCATTTCCTATAGTATAACAAAGATGTATCTAAACATAATCCTAGAACAACTGAGCTTCGACAAGGAGACAATTAAAAAAAAATGGGATGCACTATAGATAAAAAGAGCCATAATAAACAACAAGGGGAGATATGTTAGGCAAGAAACAAATATAAAAAAGCTAGAAATTAAAAAGAAGAATATCAAAACACTATAAGAACATTAAAACGCAAAGTAGATCAATTAGATTCACAAAAAAGCCCTAAAGAACCTATAAAAATCAGCTATTATAACGATTGTACAAACACTTTATTGTTTTGTTATACATTAGGCGGTTAGTTTTCTCAATTGAATTGTTTCATATTTTTCATGTCGGGGCCTTTTATAGCTGACTATACGGTATGGTTTTTTCTCATTGTTGAAGGCCGTACTGTTGTCTATAATTGCTTACATCAACTTTATTTGAACTTTGTTGGATAGTTGTCTCGTTGGCAATCATACCACATTTCCTTATTTTTATATTGTATCATCATAAAATATTGAAAGTTATAATGCTGAACGTAAAGTAATCAGCAATCAAGCAATCCATATAATAGTTATAAAGATTATATTTCGAGATTTCCTCAGTTTGAATAAAATTTTTATTTGACGAGCATTCTTTTTCTGCTGTATTAAATGTTCTACCATTTAAGGTGACTGGTAGCAAGTTCGGAATTTCGAATTTTAAAAATTATCTTACTAGCAGACAGATTTCATATAAACCCCACGGTCACAAGCGTCTTTCCTTCTTAAGTACCTTTTTGATCGTACAGCTTCTCAAGTTTTCAAGTATACATATATCAATGGCTTTCAACGTCTTAGGTATTGGGGCTCCTGATGAAGGCAATTCACGAAAAACGCTTAAAAAGCGTCAAATTTATAATGTGTCCCCCCCCTTTTTTAAGTGTAGGAAAGAAACAATCATAGTATTTGATATACTTAAAATTGTTTTTTTTTATACAAGTAGAGTATTCTATGGTTAATTAAACTGATGCAATAAAATGTACAATATGATTTAAACATTTAAAGTCTTTTCGGCATATCTAACACTGTCTCCCTACATTCGTTGTTTTAAAATACAAATTGTAAAAGACAAATCAAGCCAAAAATAAAGATATCAATAGAAGCACATAGTTTCATTTCGTATAAGCCTCTTTTAAGAGTATCCCAATACGGTGATGATAAGGCAATCTGACAATTTATAGCGGAATACATTACAACTTACAACGGCTTATATATTTTAATTTAGAACTTGAAGGCATTTATTGATGATCATCTCGCAAAAATGTAATTCAGTGAGAATGCCTTTTCAAAAATGGTATACAAATTTAACGTGTACAATGTAAATAATTTGTAATGTAGAAAAAAAGAAGATATACACCCATAAACACACGAACTCTCACGGACGTTGTTCCGAAACAAAACAATAATCAAAAGGCTTAACATTTTTATTCCATAATCACTCGACTCAAACAATTTTTTTTTTTATTAAAATCAGTCACAGAAAATTAACAATGCAAATATTTTTAATGTTAATATTGTCTGAATTGTAGTACTTTTGGTATGAAAAGTATTTTAATTTACAAAAAATGTTTGAAAATAAGGAATTTTCTAATGACTGGTGTAGGGTTTTTATTTCCTAATACGTCTGGTAAACCATCAAATCTCAACCAAACGGTTAAGCGGGAAACAAAAATAAACTGAAGAAAAGTCGACCTACCCTATCTATATTTTGGATATTTTGTACCAGAAAAGCTCAACAGGAAGTGCCAGTAAAGTTTTTTTCTCGCCTAACCGTTTGGTTGAGATTTTAGAGATAACTGTATTGTATTTGAAGCTTTGCGGACTTCCATCGGTAGTTTTACTGTCGCAAATTTAGTTAACCTGGCGACGCGTAGCGGAGACATGTAAACGGATATTTGCTACGCGTCGCCAGGTTAACTAAATTTGCGACAGTAAAACTACCGATGGACGTCCGCAAAGCTTCAAATACAATACAGTTATCTCTATTCTAATGCAAAATAAACAAATCATGCAATTTTAGTCATTGTTTCATTGTAAAATTTTCATTTAACGAAAATTCCGCGAAATGATTTTATCTTGTTAGGGCCTAAACTAGGTGACGTCATAGGTATGCTTCCGGCATCAAACATAAACACCGGGCGTTTTCTGACTTCTTGTCCGCTTCAGAATGTAATAAAAGGAGTAGGTCCAGTAAGACCCCTTTTTGGCCCCAAAATATAGCAGTTTTACAAAATTGTTAACATGTTAACTTTTAGTTATTTATTGGAAAGTAGAATGTTTCTGCTACATACGTATGGGCTGTTTTTGACAATAAAATGCACATATATCGGGTACTAGCATCATTAAGCCATGCTTAATTACTGGAATCCTCATAATTTTAGCATTTTAGTTAAATTTTAGACGGTTTTCGTCTAAAATGAAAGTGGCTGCATTTGTGTTCATTCTTAATATTGAAATTTTAGTTGTATTTGATGATAATACATTACATATATAATGGTTGAGGATGAACTCGGATGCGGCCATTTTCATTTTTGACAAAAACCATCTGAAAAGTGACATATTTTTGCATATTTGATAGATTTTTCATATTTGAGCTTGATTCGGAGCGTTTTTAATGACTAAATCAGTTAAAATCTTTCACATAAACTAATTGAATCAAATGAAATAGACACTTAAGTGTTCAAAAAGTGTCCAAAATCTTTCGTCAGATGAACCTGAAATTTGAGGCCAAAATCGGCCCTTATCGGACCTACTCCTTTGATAAAAAGAAGATTTCTAGGTACAAAATGTGAGTTTTGTTGCTTATTATTGGAGAAATTACATGTCAATACATTCCGGAATTCAAAATATCGTCTTCCTTAGTTACAGACAGGGAGATGGAGAATTTTACGCTTTTGTCATCCAATCAGAACCATTGATAAAAAGTAATTGCATTAGAATTGATGGTTTACCAGGCGTGCCTAAGCGATATAGGTTTGACATTGGTAAACTACTGTCGCTTTAATTTATCCTTAATGGCCCAGTAATTATGCCTATCCTAACTCTGATCAGACGTAACTGCGTATGTATGCATCCCATACAATCAAACGGACTGAATAACATCGATCTATTCACAAGGATCATATATCAGTCAAATATACTGACAGACTTTAAACGCAACACGCATTTGGATGATTATTTTGATACCAAATCATGATTAATCTTCATATAATTGCTTTTTATGGGAACCATATTAGAAAAATCAGTACCTGGATTACCTGAGGTTATTGAACATACCAGATTTTTGACGTCGCACGAATTTCTACAGGCGAAATTTGAAACCAATTTATGATTTTTTTTTAATGTTTTCAATATACTGAAATGACATAGATTCGACTGCAGAAAATCTTTATTTTAGGCCGCAGTTTAGACCGCATAATTGCTCAAAACAGACTTAATGGGAAAGACAGCTAGAAGCCAAATCAGAAGGTACAAAACAGAACTCACAACACGCACAAAAGAACTTGTGGACTTTTCTGTCAATCGTTTAGGCATTGGTTACAGCAGTCCTTGCCTTCGACGGTGACATATCCGTTGATAGGGAGAAAACCAGGGTTTCAGTGTATGTCACATGAATCGAACATTAAACATGACGTAATCAATTAAACTTTCGAACTGCAAACTTTATCAAGACAATGAAGTAATGAATGAAATATATGTTCATATATTTATTTTACAAGTATTGCAGATTTGAACAAGAAAATTAAAAAGAATAATCTAGTGTTGCGTTTTTTAAGTCTGTCGGTATATATGTTGTCGACTGAGTTTAATTTCATTTTAATGCTCGTTCTCCCTTGCTTACTTTTAAATGTCTCAGTCGACGTGGAAAGAAATCAGTTAAGTAGTGACCTTGACAATCAAGGGCAAGGCTAAACAATTAACTGCCACCAAAATAAGTTTTATGCACCATTTGATCATTCCATAGATTAATTTCTCACCAGTGTTGCCAAAAATTGAAAATCCAAATGTACACTGTATATTAAAATGATGAGAAATCATGCCAAAAATAACACAAAAGGGATGCAATAGCCAATTAAGGACAACCAGAGCATTTAGATGATAACTTTATTATAATTTAACAAAGCATATTAAATAAAGAAACACGATATGCATATATTGTTTGGTAAAATAAAAATAATTTACTTTATAAAGAACCATCCGGATTCCATCTTAAAAAAAAAATACCCAGAAGAAGACATTTCGTCTGACTTCAAACAGAACATAAGTGTTTTAAGTTCGAAAGTAAACCGTTTCTCTTTAAATACTCTTTTGAAGAAGAATTCAATTTATTTTGTAATAGTGTTAAACGTCCAGTGGCAAATATTACATGCATTTTCAGTACAAAACATATCAAAGTTTTATGGATATGAACCCTGTTTTGTACTAGACCCGATACACTGACTTAGATTTTTTGACGTGCTAGTTCACAAGGTAACATTTCGCAGGAATTCGAAGACATGCCATCATAGTACCCCGACACATTATTTGAATCCGAGTTTCTACGATTATTCTCCTGTGAATACCTAGCGGAAAAGCAGCATATACATATTTTCAAGTATATGGTTTGACACGGATGTGGATTGAATTCACAATAAGTGCCCGCACTCGTGGCGAGCACCCTACCAGGAGACGGTTTAAAATATTTAAGTTTCGTTACAAAAGAATTGAAAATATATTAAGATGCTCTTTCTCGGGTTAATAACACTAGAACACATCCGCGAAATCGCGGGCATTTAGAGCGTAATTGAAAGTATGTAAACTGTTGTAGGATGAATTTTTGTAAAAGATTTTATGACTGGAGAACTTGGGGATAGGACAATTTTTTTTAGCCCTCCAAACCTTTTTCCGAAGTCCGTTATTTTTTGTTTTCTGTTTGTATACTATGAACATATATAATTATACTATAAATAAAGTGTATTTGCTATTTACTATCAATTCCAAGTTTACTATCCACGGCAGTCACTGATAAACTATTTGATTCGAGCGTCGCTGATGAGTCTTTTGTAGACGAAACGCACGCCTGGCGCAAATACAAAATTTCAATCCTGGTATCTATGATGAGTTTATTTATATAGAGACTCTCATTCCATTCTCAATTTTATCTCTATATAATATATCAGTGACCGCCGTGGAAAGTAACCTTGGAATTGATAGTAAATGGCAAATACACCTAATTCGTAGTATATGTATTATCATAGTGTACAGAAAAACGCGAAAATAATTGTCCTGTCCACAAGTACTTATGAAAATTATGTGTAATTTTAAAACAGTCCTTAAACGGAAGTCTTGTCTATGACTTAAAAGTCCGTCCGATGACGGAAACAATATCCGGACGCCTTTATTTTCGTTTTTCTTTCAAAATAACCCAAACTGAATAATCATAAGCGAGGATGACAAATGCGACTATGCATGGTACCTATAGGATACAGAGGCATGATGATTAATTTATTGTGTAAGGAAGAGAAGCGACACACAAAATGAGGTCTTCTCATTTAATAGTATAGAAGTTCATGGAATTCCCATCTCATCTAACGAGATTAACATTCAAGACAATGTTAAACACAGCAAGGTGCATGTGTATCATTTTTAATATTAATAATATATTTTTATTAGACATACATGAACTTCCTTAAACAAATGCAATAAATGTCACATACACTGTTCAGTCCGGGTTACATTAACCTTGAACTGATTAAATTATAACTACATGAGTTAACAGCCGAAAACATGAAATATGGCATCGTTATCAGGTAAGTAATTTACAAATGACTGAAGAATTATGTCAAATATCAATATACAAAAAAAAAATTCTGTATTATTTAAGATATAAGGACATTATAAGAATGATAAAAACAAAATTATAAAGAATAATCAGAACCTGAAATGTTTTTCGTTTTCTTTTGATGTTGGACTTGTTGCTGTTGAGTTTATAGGTGAAGAATCTGTAGAAAGAGATTTCTGCTTCCTAAATTTCTTCTTAGTGCTATGAAAGGTTTCGGATACTACCCGGACATTAGAAATGTTCCTTGTTCCTCCAAACTTTGACGCTTTTAATTCCCCTCTTTCTTTCAAAGATCCATGTCTGTTATGTTTAACTTTCAGTACTGTTTTTCTTTCATCTTCTAAACTTACTTTTTCTGACATAGGTTCTTTTAGTTTTACAAGTTTCTCTGTATCTAATACATGTTTTTCATTACATTTTCCGTCACCTATCTCTGGACGGACATGTTTCTTTTTTTCTTTAGACGAATTACTTCGTCTCATTATGGAAGAGTCCATGTCTGTCTTGGCTGTTTTTCTTTCTTTTAATGACCCGCCTCTTCTGTGTTTAGACCGTCCAATAGCACGCGGTGATATGTTGTCATCTTCAACTGTACCCTCGTATTGCAGATTGCAGAAATTTGTAACATCCTTTTTACAAGATAGAGGACCATATTTAGAAGAATCGATTCGTCTCGGTGACTGCATAGAAGATACAGATAAAGAAAGACCAGAACTAGGTCGACAGAGAATTTCACTTTTCGCTCGTTGCAATAGCTTATGCTGATTTTGTTCTGCAATTGTTTTTCGAGGTCGACGGATTGATGAAGTTGATTCCCATTGGTCGCAATAAGTGTCGTCGCCGCCATCATTTGGTCGCTTGTGCTGAGAAGAACGAAGTTTAGAAATGAATGATGCAGCAAGTAGTGTTGTACGTATACCAGATGTAGATGATTTGATCTTGTCAACATCTTCGTATTCTAAAGATTTCCTCCTTGGCATTTTGAGGCACTGTTTTGAACCTAATAAATCAAAAGGATTATTTCTTTAATTTTGACACATAAATGAAAGAAGACGCTTCAAAAATTTGGTGCCCCTGAATCGCTTTCGCCAGGACTGCTCAAATTCGTTATAAGCTCAATGACCAAAAGGGACCTAAAAAGAATAGTAAAATCTATTTAGCAAGTTTTTGGTGGAGTTCGTGTTGCTCAGTCTTTGGGTTTCTATGTTGTTTCGTGTACTGTTGTTTGTCTGTTTGTCTTTTTCCTTTTAAGTCATGGCGTTGTCAGTTTATTTTCTACTTCTGAGTTTGAATGTCCTTTTGGTATACTTCGCCTCTCTTTTAAAGGTAAACTTTGCCTAAGGGAGTTCGAACCTTTAGTTAGTTTTTTTAAAATAATCTGAAGATTTATAAACAGATTAAAGAAAGCCGATATCATAAATCATGTCAGTGACTACGTACTGTGCTGATGATACCCTCAGGATATAACCGATAAAAAGAGAAATGTTTAATCATGAAATAAAAGACAAGATTAAGCGGGGTTGTTACAATTGTGAACCATTTTGGTCTTTTAAACTTAGCTTTCCAGTTTCCAGATGCTTTGTTTCAAATTTGATTTGAATTCGGTTGGCAGTATAGCTTAGATCGTAAAGTTAGGTCACTACAAAAAGAATCAAGTAAATAGCAGTCCACTATTCAGGGATATTTCTGGTGGCTTTCAAAAGATATTATATGCATCATTCATTTCCTTTTTTCAAAATGAAATTGAGCAAGGCATTTTGTTTGGGAATTCGTTTGATCTTTCCAGTGCGAATAAACATGCCGACCAAGAAAGAAAGTGGAGGTATGGTCACGGGTGAAAATGTTCGGAATCATAGAATCCTCCCCTCTTCACACCCGAAAAACTGTATTACAACATATATATTTATTCATTTTAACTTTTGTATCAGTGTGCTGCACGATAGCAACCTTTCACTATATTACCGACTTTCGATATCGAAGATGCAATCGCAATTGCACAGAAAAATCTGGCGTACATGATCATAAATAGCAAAACACTTGTTTTGAACGGCAATCGGGAGAACAGATTATATTGTTTCTGCTTAATTGATAACCGGTAAAATGGTGTGTATTTTGTTCTTTTTGTTAAGGAAAAAATAAAAAATTGGAGAAACATGTGAGAACAACATACAAGAATCTATTGTATAAATTGTGATTGTTAAAAAAATCGGAAAATGTAGGATTCAGTAAATGATTGCCCTTGCTTTAAAATCTGAAGGTAATTTATCAAAGAGAAAATCTAAATTGATCTTTTAAAACCTGTTTCATGTATGATCTTTTGATTTGTCGAAATTCAACTTTGTCCCGTAAAGTTTAGTAAGAAATTTTGATAGTTGTTTTCCATTCGTTTTGATTTTGCCATTTTGAATTTCCCTTTGAGTTCGGTATTTTTGTTATTTCTCATTTTGCAATAAATGAGGAACCGAGACTATGGATTCAATAAAGTCGATTTAGTTCGAAAAATTGATGATTTTTATTTATAAAAGAGATACTAATTGAAATCGTGTTCTCGGGTTTAAAATGATAATCAGATTTGTGATAAAATATAATATCATGATCTTTTATAAAAGAGGATTTGTTCTGTTGATGTGTTATAACTTGATACATGTTAACATATACTTTTCCAACGAAGAATCTGACATAAGTTCAGATCCTGTGTCCACGCTGCGCTTACAAAACGTTCCATTCTACTTTCTATTTTAAAGACCTTTCGGGATCTTCAGGTTTTGTCGTAATGAAATTCACACCTTCAAAAATTTGGAGGCAGAAATTTCATTGGTTAATATAAAATTAATCAGAACAGAAAGTAGGACTGGTGTTGTCAGATTCTTGTGAGCTAAGCGTGGACACATGATCTGTAATTTAATCAGATTGTATTGTTTCTGTAATTTAATCAGATTGTATTGTTTCTGTAATTTAATCAGATTGTATTGTTTCATTTTAGTTAAGATTAATGATGAGCAGCAAATATTTTTTTAAATGTCATGATATATACTTTAAACTGCAAAAGGTCTCTTTACTTAAATATACTTTTAACCAAAATAACATTTGTATCGATGAAGTTCAGATCTGTGTATTATTTCATTTAACAATTTCATATGAACTTTTAATGTTTGGCTTTTGGTGAAGCGAGTGGGCACCACTTACCAAGAAGGGCGAATAATATGTTACAATAGTTTTAGAAGGTCAAATAAGTTTCTGAAAAGGGATATAAAGGCTCATTTAATAAAGTCATTTGGGAACGTCTGGCAATCATTATGGAAACATATGTTGGGTGATAAGTCAGAAGAAATATTGCTGATGTATGGATAAAATATAATTAGAACCTAAATAGCTGAATGTGTCTATATGAGATACATGCAGAATGTTTGGGAAAAGTGATTCTGATGTTGGTGGACAACACATATGATCCCCAACATAGCTGACTTTCTTTTGTATTAAAACCTATTTAACCTTTACTATAAAAAATATTAAGAATTTCGCAAGCAATTTAAACCAACTAGTGGAGGTAACTTAATGGGAAGCATACCCTGTCCAAACATGCCACTATGATTATCAAAAGTGTCCAAACATGCCACTATGATTATCATAAACTATTGTAATAAAATATATGAAAATAGTGGAATTAACTATTTTTGGAGTGTAAAATATTCTTTGGATGTTTTAGATAAATTACGTGCTTTTGATGGTCCTATTGATTCTGTTGACAGTTTTGACTTTTCTACTCTTTACACTAAACATCCACACAATCTTATCAAACAAAAATTTGACTATTTAATTAAATGGTCGTTTGGTAAATCTGAATGCAAATATATTTGCTGCAACTCATTTAAAGCCTTCTTCTCTAATGAGAAAGGTAAATATGCTAGATATACTTACTGGAGGTGTGATGAGATGATTGAAGCTGTTAATTTTCTCCTTGATAATATTTATGTACGTTTCGGCAGCAAAGTTTATCGACAGATTGTAGGTATTCTTATGGGCACTAATTGCGCCCCTTTTATAGCAGACTTGTTTTTGTACTGTTATGAATCACAGTTTATGACCAAACTCAATAAAGACCCGTCTAAATTGCATTTAATTGATAAATTCAACAACACTTACCGTTATCTTGATGATATTTTTTTCGTTAAATAATCAAGAATTTTCTCAATATACTGCCGAAAATTACCCAAAGGAACTTACTTTAAATAAATCAAATTTAAACGGTAACAACTGTCCTTTCCTAGATTAAGATATTTTGGTTTTTAAGATATATCGGGAAACTCCACACTAAAATTTACGACAAAAGGGACGATTTTTCGTTCCCTATTGTTAATTTTCCCTTTTTGGATGGTGATGTTACTTTGGCACCATCTTACGGTGTTTATATTTCACAACTCGTTCGCTATGCCCGTGTCTGTTGTGACGTTTTTGATTTTAACGAACGTAATCTATGTATTACTGGTAAATTATTAAGCCAGAGATTTCGTTACCACAAATTACTTAAAACCTTTACTAAATTCTTCCACAGATATAAAGATTTGGTTTTCAAACGGGATTGCACATCCTCATTTTTACGGCAATACTGTTTACCGTGCCCGGAAATTTAGAAAGGATCCTGGTAAACTTATCGATCCTTTAAATAAACTTATTCTAAAAGGTTATCAATTCAACACTGTAATTAGATCATTAAATATTGTTTTTATTGGTACTAATATTGATTTTGTTATCAGTAAATTAAAAGCAAATTAAATATTATTGTTATATACATATACACATTCATGGATCTACAATCTGTCGATACCTGTATCTTGGCATTGCACAAGGTCATGTTTTTCTCTGACTGTTTATGACGTCTTTACACTAAATCCATTGGATGTTGGATATGTACGGATTGATAATTTAGTCTTAGATGCATGGATTTTTTTATTAGTTGTTAGTGGCTTTTAACTAGCTGTCAGTAACTGCGAGTACTCTCAGATCTGTACTTAGTGTCTTTTTGTTGATTGGATGTACAAGTACCCGGTCACGTCCACTTGTATTTGTAGTATTTGTATTTGTATCCATCTGATGACTTAAGCCTCTTTCAACTGATTTTTATAGTTCGTTCTTATGTTGTACTGTTACACCACTGTCCCAGGTTAGGGGAGGGTTGGGATCCCGCTAACATGTTTATACCCGTCACATTCTGTATGTATGTGCCTGTCCCAAGTCAGGAGCCTGTAATTCAGTGGTTGTCGTTTGTTTATGTGTTACATATTTGTTTTTTTGTTCATTTTTTGTACAAAAATTAGGCCGTTAGTTTTCTCGTTTGAATTGATTTACATTGTCATTTCGGAGCCTTTTATAGCTGACTGTGCGGTATGGGCTTTGCTCATTGTTGAAGGCCGTACGGTGACCTATAGTTGTTAATTTCTGTGTCATTTGGTCTCTTGTGGAGAGTTGTCTCATTGGCAATCATACCACATCTTCTTTTTTATATTTATTTAGTTGAACAATTTAAATTTCTGAAATAAATGAACAAATCATGATGAATGCACAATACGCTGAAATAAACTGTTGAAGAAAAGATTCCTTATGGGGTTCTCTTTTTCGGGCAAAAACATAGCGAACTAATAAAGTAGAAAAAGGCAAAATTTTACAAAATTCACTTTCAGAAATATATAAACAAAAAGATCCTTAATACTGGTGGCTACTTGTATAAATGTTTCTAGCAGAAATGTATGTAGTGCCACATGGTCAGCTAATGTGGATGATAGCGCCGAGCTGATTAGTTTTATACCTAACCATCGCCGCGATAAAGCCTTTTTGTTCTAAGTCTGCGTAAAGCAAACATCATACAATCAATCAATGATTGTATTGAATCAATCAGGAACAATCAAACCATGTACATTAAGAACAACTTGAGTTTATTGCAGGAAAGCCATGATGAATACTCGTGTGAACCTTTCGATAAGTATTATTTGTAAAATTACAGCA